GAGAGAGAGAGTTGTAGCATCGAGTAAGACCATCGTGCATACCGATGCAAAGTTAGAAAATCTTCTAGTTGGGTCATGTTCGTGCATCGGTGCTGAATACATAAACAAATACTCCGTATTTATCATCAGCAGCAGCACCAAAGTACGTAAGAGGAGAGGATTCTGACTCAATGGCCCCCACATGTACTAGTAGCGTCGGTGCAAATGTGTGGTTGAAAGGTTTTTGGCATCACACGGCCCTTATTTAGATCCCAAATCCGGAAACCAAATAATTTTTCAATCGTTGACTAATTAGGCTCAAAACTCGTCTCGCATAAAAGTACAACCAAACTGTGCAATTAGTTTTGATTTCGTCAACATTTAGTACTCCATACATCAAAGTTTTGTGACGAAGAATATTGTAGTGGAGCATTAAATCCAGACGTAAAAGAATCTTACTAATTGCATGGTTTAATTTAAATGGTATTGTAGTACTTATTTTCGTTGTTATTTATCGATTAATGTCCAATTATAATCTTTTAAGCCTAAAAAATAATCGTGAATAATTAAATAATTAGTTTTATTTTTTTTATAAATATGCTTCACAAAATGTCTAAAAAGATTCGATGTGACGAAAAATCTTGAAAAAATTTCACATCTGGATGAAAAGCAGTACGGATATTCAATGGCCCCCACATATACTAGTAGCGTCGGATGCAAATGTGTGGATGAAAGGTTTTTGGCATCACACGTCTGGTTTAGTTGCCCAAAGTTGGATATTTTCGCGGATATTATCCGGATATTATTCAAACGACCTTGATGGAGAAATGTAAAATGTAGCAAAAGTTATGAAACTTTTGTTGTTTACAATTTAGTAATAATTGTTCAAAATTTAAACCGTCCAAACTTTCTCAAATGGACTAATTAGGGCCAAAATTTAAAAAATCATAAATTTAAACCATCAAACTATCTCAAATGGAAAGTTGACCAAAACAACAATTGTAGATCTTTATGAGTTGAACAAACTTGGTATTCAAAAAATTGAAGTCATTTAGAGTTCATAATACTACTGTTGTTGTTTTTTATTTTTTGATTTCAAACTTGCTCAACATTTAATGACCTCAGATGAAAAAACTCTGAATACCAAGTTTGATCATCTAGCAAGATCTACAATTGTTACATAGCTCATTTTCCCAAAGTTTTAATTCTTGAATCTCATATAGACTTTCTCAAACTATGACTTGGAGAATATTTTTTTTAAATAGTGCCAAAATTTGGCCTATATAAGGATTTAGATCTTGATTTTGGTCAAAACTTTTAAACAAGGCCACAGTCAGCTGTCCATGAATCTGTTTCGGCATCCACTGACGCTGTGTAGATATTGATTCTTATCTTGGTATTCAAAACTTTTCAACATTTGTGTACTCGAGTCATCTTTTAGCATTTGACCAAGTTTAGTTGGCAAACTTTCAAATGACACTAAATACGATAAGTTTATTTTCAGCAAGATATACAATTGTTACATAGCTCATTTTTCCATTTGAGAAAGTTTTATCAAACACTAGTCACAAATTCTTGAATCTTAGTAATTATTGTCCAATTATAATTTAATTGGGCTATATAAAGATCTTGATGAGCTGAACAAACTTGGTATTCAAAACTTTTCAATTTGAGACAATTTAGGGTTGAAAACTTTTGTAAGCATCTAAAAAACTATATAATTAATTTTATTTTTATTTATATTTAATGCTTTATTTGAAGTCATAGGTCATAAAAGAGTCGATGACCAAATTTGACTTGGTCAAACTTGCTCAAATGAGACAAAATCTTAAAAAAATTTGCAAAATTTTAGAAACTAAATAGGCACTTTATCAGCTGCCAGTACCACCGCGCCGGTCCTCGAGGCATGCCCTGAGCGGTATCTTCTCCGACGGACCGGCGCTGCCCCCACGCACTCCCTCTCCTCTCTCAGCTAGCAGCATGTTCGTTCAATGGTTCAGCCAGAGTTTATCGATCAACCAATCCAATTATATTTTTCTCTCACAACAAATCAGCTATCCGTGTCCTAATCCTAAATATGAAAACAAATATAATATGAGGTCCAGAAATCATCCAACCAACAGCAAACAGGCCGTACAGCCATCGTTCTTCGAATTTATCAATCTCTTCTCACAATAAATCAGCAACAAATCAGCACTAGTTTTTTTTATCGGGTACATCATCCTTTGTCAGTTTGTCTCTTGTACATCATCCTTTGTCAGTTTGTCTCTTGGTGTGCTCGGTTACAACCGAGAAACCGAATTAGAAGACCGAAGACCGATCCATCGGTTCTTGCTTTCTCGGGAAAAACTTCGGTTCACGATCTCTGAAAACCAAATTAAAAAAAGACCGAAACAACCGACCTGAAATTTCGGTCATCACCGAATGCTCAGGGGTCTTTGTTTAGACTAAACTAAACTTTAGTCCATGTGTTTGGACGCTAAACAGAAAGCCTAAACAAAAACTAACTATAGTCTAATAAAAATCAATAGAGGCTAATCGATCAGTAGAATACTTTAGAAAAAAAAAGGAATTTTTAATTAGTCCATGTTTAGTCTTTTTATCCAACGATGGACTAAACTTTAGTGTGATGATCCAACATGCCCTTAGCTATATATTGAGATCTCCTATTTAGAAAGCATCTCCAAGAATCACTACTACATAAATCTTTATGGAGGCGGGCAAAGCAACCGCCTCCATTCAAAGGCCTCCGCTAATGCGCAGACCATGGAGGCGGCGCTTCGGTTAATCAATCAGAAAAAAAAAAAAAAAAGAAAAATTGGTTGACGAGCCCACCAAGCCCATCCACGGGCCCACCAAGCCCATCCACACGCCGCCGCCGCCGCTGCTCGTTGGACCGCGCGCACCGACGGATCCGGCCTCCCACACGCCGGGATCCGGCCACCCACCGCCGAATCTAGACTCCTGCCGCCGCACCCGACCTCCGTCGCTGGGATCCGGCCGCACGCCGCCGGATCTGGCCGTCCCGCCGCCACATCCACGTGGATCCGCTTGATCCACCACCAGTGGAGTGCGCGGCGCTGCTGCAGGCCCCCGCCGCCGGAGCGTGTGACGTCCGCCGCCGGGGCATGCTACTCCCGCCGCTGGAGCTCGGGACGCGCCCACTGCATGGACTCCGCCACCAAAGCGCGCGACGTCTGCCGCTGGGGCGCGTGAGTCCCGCCGCTGGAGCTTGGAAGGAGAGGGAAAGGGAGGAGGGGCACCGCTCGGACTCATCCTCGGAGGAGGAGGAGATCTCCGAGGGAGGAGGGGCGCCACTCGTGTCCGTCTCGTAGAAGGGAAGTCGTGACCAGGGGCGGCGCTCGGTGTTGGGCGGAATCGGTCTGAGAGGCATGAGAAAGAGAAGTGAAGGGGAAACTCTAAGTCTCTGTATTTATACCCGAAATGGCTATCGGGCCTGACTAAGCCTGTTGGGCCTTAGCCTTTTTGGAGGCGGGCCTTATAGTGTGCCCGCCTCCGAAAATCGATTTATGGAGGTGGGCTTCTTTAGACAACTGCCTCCGAAAATAAACCATTTTTGGAGGCTGTTGTTTTAAAACGATCGCCTCCGTAAATCGATTAACGGGGTCATGTCATCCTCCTCCTTGTCTCTCCGTCACAGATGAACTCGGCCTTGGCAAGGGAGGGGCACGTCGTACGGGTCGCACAGGCCGTCGGGCCGCTGGGGTCACACAGGCGCCGACATCCTACGAGGAGCCTCCGGTCTGGGGCAGACGGGGCCGCGCCGGTGGGGGGTGGGCGCCGTCGGGATGTGCTCGCGGCCGGCTGGGGAGGAGGCACACTCGCCACGCTCGCGCCACCGGGATGGCAGCCTCGTCGGGGTTAGGGTCGGCAGGGTCGAGGTCGGGGATGGCCCGCGCCATCGAGGAGGATGCGCGCCGGCGGGTAGGAGGCACTCCGGCGGTAAGGAGGCGCGCCGGTGGAGAGGAGGCGCGCCGGCGAGAAGGAGCGTGGCCGGCGGCTGCGGGCGTGCGCGAGCAACTACGGGGGGCGCGTGGGGAGGAAAGCACCGAGAAAGATTTGGGTAGTGTCGTTGACCCAATAGGAATGGGTAGTGGAGAGGGGATTTTGGGTAGGCAACAAATTTGTTGGGTGTGATAGGTAGTCTATTGGAGTGAATATTTGGCCCTCCACTACCCAGATTAAGGATAAGTAGTGGGATAGGTAACGTTGCAGGAGATGTTCTAAGTTATATCGTACCTGGAACCACTCATTGTTGAGCTAATCATTACCCTTTGACGGATGAGTTGATAGTGGATCTATGCCTTCCGCTCTTGAAATCAAACAAAATATATTATTGAATTGTGTTAAAAGCATGCACGATGAATTGATGATGGCACCTCAGCGGCTTGTGGTATGCCCTAATGGTCTGTTTGATTCCATCCACTAAAATTTAGTGACCCCTGTTTGGTTTCAACCACTAAAGCAAGCTGTCCTATATACATTTTAGTCACTTTTAGATATCATTTGGTGACTAAAAGCCATCAAATTTTAATAACCCCTAAACTTTAGTGAGGTTTTTGGTATTTTAATGACTTAAGGTGACACTAAACTTTAAGAGAGGTGAACCAGACATACCCTAAAAAGAATAGATTGACTGTTTCCATCCAAATAGATGGATGCTTTTGATGGTCCGCTGGCCAAATGTGTCCGAAAAAGAAGAGCCAAGCAAAGGTAGCATGACAAGGACCCCGGCCGTGTCAACTCGTCTCACTATTTTACTTTGCCCTCACATGGATCACACACTGTCGGGCGCAGCTGGCGTATATAGGACCTCGGCTTACAGAGTTCCTCAAGCAGTCAAGCATAAAACTACTAGCTAGCATATGGATCGTACTCAGCGCCCGCTAAGGATCTGCATCTGCTGCCTGCCATGTAGTCTACCTGCTTTGGGGGTCGCAGCGGCCTCTGTTGCCGCGCGAGCGATTCTGATAGAATCCCTCCGGCTGCCCCGCGCCCGCATGGCCGGACGACTGGCGAGCTGGACCGAGGACAAAGACAAGAAAGAAATACCGGAACTGCTGCTCAACCGGTTGCTGGTAGCCGAGGTGTTCCTGCAGATGCTTGCTTTGGGGTTGGGGACGATCGCCCTCGTCTGGGCTACGGTGGTGCTGCTCGGCGGTTTCTCCTCCGCGCTCATGACAATGGATTTCTGGTTCGTCACGGCTATCGTCTTTGTAGAAACCGCCAGGTAATTAACAAGCTCTCCCGTGCTGTGAATCGCCTTGCTTTCTGCTTTATTACTTCTTCGTTCTCGGTTTGTTTAGTATCATTGCTTTCTCCCGTGCCGTGCGCTCCCTGGCAGTCTCGGCCCCGGCCCCGGCCCCCGGGGCTGTGCTGGAGTTTTCAGCTTAACTTCGTATACAGCACATGTGGGAGTGAGTTTATCATGACTTCAATGCTGAAGCAGTTTGCAAAAGTACCGTTTGGTAAAAACAAAAATAGCCCAAAAATCCCTACCAGATGAGGCCGTAGATTTTTTGATTGTATAGACCATAATAATGATCACATAAACAGGATCCAAGGCAACTCAACTCAAGAATGTCGTCCCCAACCTATTTGACCATATATCAAAAAACACTCATAATAAATAGTATATATGTTTTTTTAGGGGAATAAATAGTATATATGTGTCCAAACAGACCCCTAAGGCCCATGAGCCAGCCGATGGCCTGCTGTTTTGGCCCGGCCAAGGCATAGCGTAACGTCTACCATGTTTGTGCCAGTGTTATCATTAACGATAAATGGTAAACAGTCGGTCACTTATTGTTTAGCCATTACAGGCGCTTAAACGGACAAAATGACCATTTCAGCCAAATAAACAGTCAATTAAGCGGAAACAATATACCATCCTGTAGTGTTTAAAGACCGTCTAGGTGAACTGTGGTCCGTGCCAAACCGTTCAACATATCATCCCTGGACCGCTCTCAGAAGCTCGGCTCAGCCCGATTAAATAGCTGCCCAAAATGGCCTAAAAATTACACCCTAGCCCAACCTTCCTTTGTACCTCTCGTCTCTTTCGTCACCATCTCTTCGCCCCCTGATCTCATCCTGCAACGGCACCTTGGCTAGCACGTGACGGCAACGCAGGCGCAAGCACAGTTACGACGGCTGCGCCTTGTCCAATGCACAACCTTGGGCTAGCTTGGTGATGGCCAATATTGTCCATACAAAAATACTCGTATGCCACGAACGCATGGAGCTACGTCTAAGGCCTGGATGTATAGCATGGAATATTTCAAAATAGGTGAATAATAATAATATTTTATAAATCCATGAAAATTGAAATGGCACCAATCTAAAAAAAAACTCTATTACGTGTGATTTAGATATAGGTTTATGGGGTTTATGTTTTATTTCATAATTATTTGATGGTGGGTAAGTTTTAAAGAAAACAAATAGTTGTAATAGGGCTATTGTTGTTTGAGGATTGATGACCGGATATTCCTAGATTTTTTAAGAATTTATACGATTATATTTTTTCCAACAGACTCGTTAAAATCAACATGGAGTCTTCGATACATCTCTCCAATTATAATATAGAATAGATAATAAGATAGTTGGTATATACGTATGGACTTTGGAACCAAATCTATATCTATCGTCCTGTTCGCTTGAACTTATCAGCGCTACTTTTCAACCATGAAAAAGTGTTTTTCTCTCACAACAAATCAGCATCGGCAGCAACCTTTTTTTTATAACGAAAGTGGAACAGCCATACAAAGAGGCAAAATGTATATATATATATATATGGTACCATTATTCTGGTCTAGCCTCCCTAACTAATTGGGCACGCTTTTATAGTAGCGGAAGTGGAGCAGCCATACAAAAAGAAAAAGAAAAAAAACAAAACAAATTGTATCCGGACTAGGACTCGAAGCTAAGAAAAGCTATAGCTATCGTCACCCTTTCTCTCAGTGTATGTGAAAGAGAAAAAGTGACAGAACTTTTTTTTTTTTTGGTTGGTTGGTCCAAAGAACGAGAGTCAGCTTCCTAGCTTAAGTCCGTTCTTTCTCGGTAGCTCAGTGGTAGGGCCATCAGAGTTAAAGCTATTTTAATTTGGCCGAAGCTGGAACTCTACAAACGAGCTCTAAGGAGGCTAAAAAATATCCACACGGTGGGGACTAAGGGAGTGTTTGGTTTAGGTCCAAAGGATGCCATGCCGTGCCGCAACTTCAATGCCACAGTTGCGGCATGCGTTTGGTTCACTGCCCCATTTGTGGCATGCCGCAGTCCTGCCGTGGTCTTCTAGTGCATTTTGGGTGCAAAAACGTGCCGGAGGTGCGGCGGCCGATTTCAGCGCCGCAGCTATGGCGCGGCCAAAGGTTCGGTGCGGCAGCTTGTAGACACTGTCCAAACGCGCCCTAAGTTTTTGTGTGTGCGCAACTTGGCCATATGGTTAGGATCACCGCGGCTGTGTTTGTTTATTGATCGAACAGCTAGAAGGGATGATCGACCAGCGTCGCTCTGATTAATGGGGACTCGGTGTGTAGGGATCCATTCACGGGATTCACAACGTGAATATAAAAGGTGAGTGGTGCATTTTGTCACCAACAAATGAGTTCCATTACCAGGTAAACATGGCTTCGTTAAATAAAAGATATAAGCACAAAGTTTCTTGTTTGAGCTATTAGTATGGAAATTACTTTTAAATGTAGGTGTGTGTATATATTTGTGCTAAACTATTCAAATTCACTGTCCTACTTCTATAAACTGGTAGTTATTTATTTCAATCAAATGTGGCAATTTATTTATTTAAGCAGTAGCCATTAGTTTAAAGACGTCTACAAGAATTTGTTTGTTTGCTTGAAGCCGATATCACTAGCTATGTAGGCGCCATGACCACAACGTCTCTGTATATAAAATTAAACCATGAGTAGCACGTGTTCAATTGTGATATATATAGAGTAAAATTGCACAACTAATTGAAACGCATGATGCGATTGTTAAATCTCTGAGCTATAAATTATCTATGACCACACAATATGTATGTCCCATTACAACGTGAGGGCAATTTTGCTAGTTAAAACAGAAAAGTTACTAAAACGTACAATCAACTTTCAAACTAAAATCTTCCACCTCCAATTATTGTGAAGTTTTCCCCTTAAAACAATAAGCTTTTGAAACCATTTTTCCAAACAAATAGGAGTACAAATTAATAAATCTAATCGTCCCATGATGTCCTTGAATGCGTACATTGCATTCGCCATCGTGCACACAAACACGGGCTAACTAAACGTTCGTTGGCAGAATCGTCGGCTACAACTCGGCGCCCGAGGCCAAATTCTTCGTCGATGTTCCGGCAGCTTTCTTGAGAAGGAAAACCTTGCAGGTCGGAAGTGCGACCGCCGGTTTTGTAGGACTAATCACAATGGGGCCAGCACTGGTTGCTGTTACTCCCATTTTCGCAGCATCGGCCTGCATGACGCTGTCAATCTGGCGTCTGCAAATAAGCATCGGTAGTCATGGTTATGCAGGCTCAAATGCTCCATCCGGAAATGGCAATTTGTTGCCAGCGCTCATCTTGTTCTACGCCCTGGTCCTCACTCAAGGCGCATTGTTCCTCATGTGGCTGGTTGTTGCTATGAGTCGTTCAGCACAAGCTGAAAATTTGTACTTCACAGGGGAAGAGAAGAAGATAACAACTGATAGATATATTGCTCGCACACTCGACATTTGCGTCGAAAAGGGCGTTGTTAGCACCATGAACAGGACTCTGGTCACTTTTGCAGAAGAATTGCTGCAATCTGAACAAGATAATGACCACGAAGATGCAGTTTTAGTTCTACACAATGTGATTAAGAGGGAAGAACGTAGAGATGGAGCGACTAAGCAGATTTGTTCTTCTGAGCAGTTGGTTTGCAGGTTGATTCGGTTGTTAAGCTCAAAAAGCCCCTATAAACTAGATACCCGGATACATGCAGCAGAAATCGTAAAGGATATATCAAAAAATCTGTATCTAGCTAACATACCTGGAGCAGCCAACTCCTTATCGTCTCTACTTGATGCTAGATTCATGACAAAAGCAGCACAGACAAGCCACAACACTGGAGAAATCGTAGTCAGCATTAAAAGGGACATGTCGTCTCTTATTGTTCATAGCCTTCAGATTCTTTGCAAGCTCGCTGAGGACCCGGGGAACTGCACAGAGATGTATAACACCAAGGATCTTGTGTCCAAGATAATAGCGTCACTTACTCATGGGCTGCATGTAGCCGTTGTCAACAATAATGAAGATGCAACAGTTGAGATTGTGAGAGAATCCTTAGGCGTCTTGGCCAAGCTTACCAGCGGGACAGGTGAAAGCAGTACAGAACTATGCTGGTATCTATTGGACAATAGCACAACGGTGGTTGGCCACATGCTTTTCATCTTGAGAAACAGTAGCCACACAGACTTGAAGATACAGGCGGTGAAAATGCTTACAAGCCTTACTTTGGGTCGTCGACTGCCAAAAGAACGAAAAGGGCTTGTTTTGGGCCGAGTTGAGTGCCCAGATCTTCAGCAGATGGTCACAATCTTAACAAATGATGAAATCTCCAAGGAGGACAGAGCTGTGACGGCGCGATTGTTAGCAGAACTCTGTGCAAACTCTGGATCAGCTCACGACAGGAACCGAATGAGACCAATCTCCAGTGCATTGTCCACAGTAAGTACATATGGATTTCTTGATACATTTTGCACTTCAGTACATGGGTTCTATATGAAAAGATTCTCTGACTCATATTTCCAATCCTACAAATTTTCACAATTATCCCATGCGGTATTTCTTATTGTTAATATTGTTTGTCGTTGAGAATGTTAATCACTGGATTAATGCCAAATAAAAATATGATTCTGTTAGCCAGTACTTATAAAAAAGTTTTTCTTTCTTTGCTGTTGGTAGGTACTGAAAGTTATAGGCAACACTCAATGCACAAACGACGTTGATGCCGACACTTGGAAAGTTCTTGGAGGCTTATTAGACCTTACCGTCCAGATTTGTGTCAATCTTGCCATTCCTGCAGACGCTTTTGCTGCTGCGGTCAAGGGGATTCCAGAGGAGGATCATGTGTTTGTAAACAAGCTGAAGGAGATAGTTGATACTTGTATGGACAGATTTTCCAGAAATAGGTCTAAGGGCAGCGAGGATATTGTTTGCCTGATGACCATGAAGGCCGCTGCCAAGTTCGCTACGTGGATAATGGAGATCAACTGCCATTACATCGAGTGTTTTTGCCAGGTGAACTTTCTTGAGAAACTCGACACCTCCATAATCGACATGGCAAACCTGGAAAAGTACATGATCTTAACCGGTTGCCGTGATGAGTCTGAACGTTATGAGACGCTCTCGTCACTAGTAACACGTGCTAAGGATTTGGTTTCGCGGCAAGAGGCTTGATGTGCGCATGTCAATGTGCACTACTTTGGCAGTTTAATTTACTCTATTTGCCATGCATGCTCTGTTATCTCTGTATTTGGCTTTGAAAGGAAACCTTATAAATAGTTCTTGTTTCCTGTGGGTGTAAGTTTGTGAGGGACTAAGTTGAGATTTGTCTTGGTCTCCTCTATGTGTAATGAATCATGAATGATTGACACGTGTGTTGAGAGATTTGGAGCTTTTGGTGGTGCATAACATGTTGAATGTGTATATGATTGCTTTGGCTAGTCGAGAGGTATGGAGGAATATGTCTCCTGTCTCATGATGTGTAGGTCAGTAGGTGTATAGATGCGATATGGCAGCCAGCGGCTAACCATTGAAGAGCAAGTGGCTTGGCGCCTATGGACCATGCAATGGTGAAGGATGAGTTGGGGCTTGAAACTCTAGGGACCATCCGTTCCGAAGAGCCACAGGCGATCTGTATTATTGCTCACATGAAGAGTGCAAGAAAACATGCGGACAAGAGGATGATGAAGATGGTGTTAGCAAAGTCGAGGAGGAGGATGGCGTCATGGCACTTTGTGTAGGCCGAACACATGTTTACCTTGGGATAATGAAGATGACACAGTTAAAAATTAGCTCTCATAGCGACAAAACCGTCCACTAATTTCTATGCGCGGAAACGTCGGTTGAATCTACTGAGCAAACATGAAAGATCACAGACGATAATTCGTCAATTCGTCGCAAATCTTTCATGTAAATTAAGCCCAAGTTTATCATGGTGTGGTTTGGGGATGTCTTCCATCCTGGATTACCTGGGAGAGTTGTAACCGGTTAAACTATGTCTCTTCTTAATGAAATACGTGTCACAAGGACATGTTCGCGAAAAAAGATCACAGATGACAGAGAAGATATTTGTTGACGAGATTCAGTTGAAGCCTACATCCCGAGGCATGACCACTGGTGATCCTCCCTAAATACCACGATACCCGCTGCTCTAGGTCCGAATGATACGCCGAGTGCAGGATACAAGAGCATCTCTAACAGATTACTTACCCCATCTCCTAAAAGTCTATGTAGGTGATCTCCTATTATTGATAGTGTAGTTTTTTTATTTTTCTCTTCCAATACATTACCAATACCTTGAAAATGGACAGTGGAGAAGGGGTTGATCTCCTACATTTTGAGGGAGAAATGGGTGATTTTTAGTAATTACTTAAAACTTTTAGGTATTGGGGATCAGATGAGTAATCTGTTGAAGTAACCACTATCTCCTAGTATTCATAAAACTTTTAGGTATTGGGGATAGGGTAGGTAATCCGTTGAAGTAATGACAATCTCTTATATTGCATTCTTTGGTACTAAGGATGTGACAAGTAGTTTGTTGGAGATGCTCTAAGTAATCGGCTAGAGGAGGTGAATAGATGGTGATCACTAAAAAGCAAAGACACTAGGAAATTTTATTGATGTAGTTTTGATTAGGAACACAACTTATTTTTGTTACAACCTGAATCAACCAATGGTTCGACTAATCAAACCATGAGCTGAAATTTTGAGCAGTTAAAATATAAGAATTCTGTAAGCGTAGAGAATACCATTGCAACATTTCACCGGGAGTATTCCAGGTATCATTATTTTACCATTAGGAAACAATGGAATAAAGATTATTGAATAACAAAAGAGTACTTACTAATCAACATACCAGCATAGCTAGAGCAGGGATAAATGTAAAGATAGAAATTAAGCATAATGACACTCAAGGGATAAAACCATAATGAATAAATAGACTTGATAACTTGGGAGTATATTGGGTGAGGTAGACTCCTATAATATTCTCACTATAGAGTTATAGAAGTACAGTGGCATAAACTTATTATAGCAAAAGATTAACTCCATGTTCATGCATAAGGGACATTACTCGAGAAGAGCATAGCAAAATATACTTCTTCCGCCACAACATGGGTCCTACTAATCCTACACACAGGAGATGGATTCCAAAGGACCAACATAACTGTCACTTACGCGGCCTACCACACGTTCCGGCATGTAGGGTGCATCCGTAGGCACTACTGTGTATAAGCATCACGCTTACACAAAGTCTGCTACTTAACCCATTCGAATAAAGCTAGGCTAAGCGCTCTGCGATCCTATGCATAAACATAAAGGTAACTTTGACTATTCTAAGCATATAACCAAGGTAAACATAACCATGTAGATAAGAATATGACATGTAAAATATTGAAGTCTCAAAAGATATGAAAGTGTAGATACAATGGCTTAGCAAGCCTCTGAGACTAGATCCGGAATCTGGACATAAGTCCAACTCGACCCTATCTCTCAAGCTACTCATCTACTACATTGGAGAGTTCTAGACCAATTCCTCTTGGTGTGTCTTCATCTGAATGAGAGATGCCTTTCTGGAGGGCGTCTAGGGTCCTTTTATAGGGGGAGATGGAGTAGGGAGCAAGCCAGCACCACGTTATTGATCCGCGTCAATTCCCTCGACCAGCTTCAAACCACCTTAGAATCAATGGTGTAGATCTTAGAGGCGTGCACGAGGCGGTGGAGGGCCAGAGGCCCACTGGGCAGGTCAGCCGACCTACACCTAGGGTCGCCCGACCCCCTGTCATGGTAGGTGGGCCGCCCCCTCTGGTAGGTGGGTCTATACTTCGTCTTGAGTGGGTTTTCGCAGGTTTGCACGTTTGTTGACGTCGGTTCGTATGCTTGATATGATGTGTATGACGATGGGCCCTTTGATCCGTTTTCTGGATAAATCAACCTGCATACAAATATTCATCAAGACTTGTGGAATCCATTAATTTAAGCATCTACTTTCTATATTGGTGATTGATTAAAGGATAAAAGTAGGTTAAAATGACAGTTTATAGTTGACGTTAGTGACCGTCAACAAGCAGCTTGTTATACAATATTTAACTAATCTCGAAGTTGTATATATGTATATCGGTATAATCCTTGACAAGGGCTGGAACTCAATACTTAAATCTGTTAAGAATTCCTCAAATAGAGGATTGATGGGCTCATACTATATAGGTCCTAATGGGCTTCTACTATGTATACCATGGTGGCTACCATATATGCCCTGAAGGCATCTATATAAAGGAACATGTACGTCTATATTGACTAATAAAGAGATGGCTCCCCTCATATACTTGTCTCATGTCTATTCTTGTGTGTTGTTCTTGGGGATGGGAGAGGGAGACGGTATCTATTTACAACTTCTACGCGCCTCTTTCTTGGGATCGGGAACAGGAAAACGGATCTGTCGATCCGTAAATAGTCCGATTCTCAACACGTTATCAGCCGCTCTTCCAACTGGGTGAGACGTTCTTAATTTGTTGACAATTTATGGATCTTGAAATATGATGCTAATTGTGGTTTGATTTCTATTTTTTCCGACGCCTTGACTCGAGCCTCTTGATTGAGCGCCGCTCACGGACATGGGCTTCCACCCCGCTGGCTCCCATGGCTGACGCCGAGGACAACCGCGGTGGGAGGCCGGCGGACGTGGCCGTGGGCGACCTGTGCGCGTGGCTCGACGGGTTCAACGACGTCTCCGTCGTACGCGTTTTCGAGAGCATGGCGGTGAGCATGGCGGTCGCCGCTGGTCGAAGTCGATGGACTTTGTGGGCGGCGGAACGAACATGCCTGGGCCACAACCTCTACGCTGGAGTATACATGGCCATCGGCCGCGGCTTGCCTTGGCCCGGCGAAGACGTACGGGTCGGGCGTCTTGGCCCGAACGGTGTCGTGCCTCAACGGGCCGCCGTGCCTATCTGATCGGACCGCGTCGCACTGCGTTTGCGTGTGCGGCCTTTGGCCCAAGGCACGCCCGTGGGCCGCTTTGGTTGGCCGTGCGTGCCGCCCGTTGAGCACGGCCATTTTCACTGCGGGGCGCCTACTGACCCGACACAGCAAAAAAAACACCTCCAAAAACCACCAAGTTTGAAACACTTCATTTTCAAATTTCAACAAACAAAAGATCACATTTTCATTCACATTCACACACGATTATCAACATTGACATTCATACGAGTTATGAAACTGATCTCGATCAACATTCAACATTCACATTCACATTCACACAACTGTTAACTGATCAACTGATAAGTTGTCATTTTCATTCACAGTGATTGACTGACAGTTCACATCACAGATCACAACACAAAGACAAAAGGAGACTAGATTATATGAAAATGATGATCAAAAGGAGCTGTTTTGTGCAATGCCACCTCATTAAAAATCTTTTAGGTAAAACTCACCCTTGTGAGAAACCCTAAAAGAAAAAAAAAGCTGACCACTCAAAGTCTTAGTCTTAATGTGTTATTACAAAAGCCAACAATTTGTGGCAAAGTTCACAGAATGACTGTGGCAAAGTTCATGAAAGCAGAATGATGTAATCGAGTCCACACTCAGTCACTCACTCTTCTTCTATCATCACGAGATAAAGCAGACTCACGATCACACACACGACTTCACAAAGACAAAGACAAAGCAGATCAAAGTGATCAAAGACAAAGCAGACCACCACCAAAGAAAAGACCAAAACTCCAAAAGTACCTGCAAAAATAGAAGAATCCAATCAGTCCAAAAGTATTGAGTTGATTGAGTCATAGTATTTAGTTGAGATAGACAGTCAGTACCTCTCAGGCTCTCCTCTCTCCAGCTCTTCTTCACTTGTTGTATCCAGCACAGCAAAAGAAGTCCAAAAGTACCTACAAAATTGTACATAATTCATGTTATTGTTTTGCCATTAATGTAAACAGGCTAGTACTTATAGTTATAGATTTGAGTTGAGTACCTGAGAGTGAGAGGAGAGGTTCTTCACTCCTTCTATCCAGCACCAGCAGCACCGCCGCTGCCGCTGGCTTCGCCTTCACCATCAAGGAAGAGGTTCTTGAATGCCTCCTCCAGGCCCACATCCTCAGGTGCATGCTGTTCTCTTCTTACTGCTTGCTCCTAGTCCTTCATGCAGGTGAGCATCTCCACATGCTCCGGCAACA